CCCCCCCCCCCCCCCCCCCTCTTTACTGTAGATGTATCGTTATGTCAAAATTGAACGCCCTCTTTTAGGACCTTGGCTAAAAGCCTGCCCGCAAGTTCATGTATATATCAAGGTGATGCCATGGTAAGGTTTCCTGCCGAAGTGCCTACAGTTGCATTTTTCCCAGCTGCTCCTGGTTAAGTCCAAATAAATGTTTAAAATTAACAATCGGAATTTCCTTCTACAAAACCCTTTGACATTAGTTCAATCGAGTAAGATGCCCCCACAATTCTTGATACGAACCGAATCTATCACTTGTGCTTAAGTACTTAGTGTAATAACAGCAGAAATCAGAACTTACTTGTCTGTATTAGAATCGTTCGCTTGTTCCGTATTTGCGGGTTTATCAGGAGACTTGGCCTCAGTCACTTTAGGCGAACCAGGTTTAGGAGAACCACTCTTGGATGTCGGCGCACTGGATGACTTAACTTCCGTCTTATTTTTCGCGTCTTCGTCATCGTCAGTTTTTTCGGCAAGTTTTGGACGTTTTACCGTCGGTTCGACGTCTTTATGAGAGTTAGCATGTCGTCGTTCTCCGCCTTCTTCCGCCTCGTCCTCGGAATCCGAGTATTCCTCGGGCTTGGCGATCTCTTTGTCTGAAGCCATGACTGCAAGGTAAAGTAAGGAGTGAAAGTCACCCTCTATCGCACTACGAAGAATGCAGCACAAATATGACGAGTCGGGTCAGCCTCTGGCAGTGTGCAACATAATAACAGCCGGCCAATAGAAGCCGGCGGTTTTTCGCCGCTTTTTCCATGGGGCTGGAAAAAACTTTTCCTGGGGTGCTCCTATGACGTCATAATTGTAAAACGGAGAAGCGGTGTTAACAATATATCACACATTATTGCATATTGTCAGGCAATAAGGCTGCTAGGATTTATATTCTCAGTTAAGCATTTTGTATCAATTAAGCATTTTGTATCAGTTAAGCATTTTGTAGCATTTTCTCTGGGGATCCCCCATTCGATCTGGGGTACCGGGGAAAATAGCCCTTTGCCCCCTCCCCCTCACGGCGGGCCTGGTTATACCACAAGACAGTCCAACGCCGCCTTATTTTGAACAATACTTCAAATAATGTTAGGCAGTATTCGAAAGTAAAAATCCACAAAATGTCCTGTTGTTGCTCATCTATCAGATTATATATTGATATTCTTCAAAAATAAAAATCACCCTGGCGAAGTACTTGATGACATTTTAGGAGAAATAATAAATACTGTTAGTTTTGATTGTGAATTACACTGAATGATGTATTGTGTCAAATTGTGTTGAAATAGGAGCGATATTAAAATTAAGCCATTGATGTTCTTAAATTCAAAAAAATATTCTCGATTCATAGTCCTGACAAAAATATTCTCGATTCATATATGAATGACTATAGTCCTCAGTGATTTGGACCCCATGGAGCGGTATCAGTCGGCGCACAATATATTGTAAAGTAAAACACCTGCTGTTGGCAGTTCTATTGGAAACCCAAATCCGTACTGGACTATGTTAATTTTAGCAAATATTTTCAAATTGTTCTCCAAGGCATGACTTCACTTACTGCTGATTCTTTTGTCAGGCTTACGATCTTCTTCTTCATCTTCAGCCTCGCTATCATTTCCCAAAACATGGTCATCTGGAATACCTAAATATCAACAAATATCCCATTATATCAGTCTTAGTTACCCCTGCTATCATTACATTATCCCTGGTTATCCCACAAAACCCTTCCAAATCATTCCTACTCCTCAGCCTCGCTATTACTCACTAAACATGTAGCCTGCGTGCAGGCCCAATGGAACTGATAGTGGGCCTGCAATCATCACCCCATGTTTTCGATTTTCGCCGGCCGAACCGCCGGCTAAATTCCCATTGGCTAGCTGAGGCGATCGGTAATTAATTAACCTAGCATGCAGGCCCAAGGGAACAATGATTCATCACAAAGGCATAGACAAAGGCTCTCGATAAGCTTAAAATTTGAAAATTGATCACTTTTTTCGATTACAAATGGAACAAGAACAGACTGTTTATTGTTTACTTGAAGGAAGACATGTTTTTGCCGTTATGCCAATGGGGATTGCTTGTCGTGAGGTGTTGGAATAGCAAATTACGACTGGGGTAAACTATGATAACTTGAGTTTCATTAATTTCAAACAGACTTCAGTTGATACGTTATGTGTTCTCACTTCCTCAAGAAAATTATCTTTTGGTTGATGTTGAGATGCAGTTGCATGTAAGGACTGTAAGCCTATTCGAAACACTTTGCGATTCACAAGGCTTCGCTGAGAGAGCGAAACAGAAGGCGGTATTAAATTGCCGTTTGAAACGAAAAGATCTGGACTCGGAACGCTCTCTTCTTTTGTAGAGTTCTTTACCAAATGAAATAAATGACATAAATTTCGTACTTTCCGCCGCCAACAAGAATTGCACACACGATCTGATAAGTGAGACAATTTATTTATAACAATGCCAATGGCGACAGCGAAGCACACATAATATAAATCCTAATGTGGTCGCACGACTTCCCTCATGATTTGAAGTTTGAGACTGGTTTTCTGTTGAAATTCGTCCTAATTTGCCTGTTCCGATTTTAGTTGAAAATGAGCACTTGCAAATTTGGCAATTACTGACTGCGTTGCTTGCTTTTTTGGAGTTAAAACGCAGCCATTTACACATTGTTTATTAGTGTTCTGAATAAGCAGAGAAAACCCCGCAACATTTTAATGCGAGTTTGTTTGTTAATATTTGGATGCTGTCATTGGTTCTTTTTTGACAATTGACGCGCGAATGGGGCGTGTTATGAAAAGGGGCGTTTTACAAAATACCGGGCGATGGTTGCAGGCCCACTATCAGTTCCCTTGGGCCTGCACGCAGACAGGCTACTAAACATGAATATCAACAAACATACCTCTCCAGATCATTATATTATCCTAGGTTATCACTATATAAACCCTTTTTATCATACAATACCTCCTCCATTTTACTCTTATCCTTAGTCTTGCTATTACTTCCCAAACTATAATTATTTGGTATACCTGAATATCAACAAATGTTCCCCCTGCAGCTCATTATATTATTCTAGGCTATCACTGTATTACCCATTTTTATCTAGCCCGAAAATTTAAAGTCAACGGCTCTATCGTTAAGTTACAGTCACCAAAGTGTTAGGGTTAGGAGTGTTATTGGGGCATTGAGTGGGGTCAAGATCAAAGAGAAGATCAGGAAATACATTTTTGACGACGGGCCTTCGCTCGAAACGTCGAAGCTATATTTGTCGTCATACTATTATCGTAATCCCTATTAACGGCCAGCTGTTCAGAGCAGACAGTATTTTACTCACGTTGCATCTGAACGCCGGGAGCATGCGGAATCATACGTAAATTTTCAAAGAGTCTTTGCCTGAAAATAAAAACAAGTTGTTTAATTAGTATCGATGATGAGAATGGGAGTTGACAGTTACGAATTGTTACAGAGGATATTTCAAGCTCTATATTAACAAAATAAAGGTTTGATGACTGTTCTAACTATGTTTTCACTTAAATAGAATATATGATAGTGTTGGGAAAGCATTAACAGCTAACCAAGATCGCACTCCCACGAACCCGACCTTTTTTGCATGTGTAATATTTGTCTGATTCTCACAAGAAATGTAATATTGCTTTTTATTATATGGACAATGGTGTTTTACTGGAAACTAAAACACTCGTAGAACTCATACGTCACTACATCCGGGACCAGGTGCGCGTATTTTCCTTATTTCACGCCTGCTAGTGACATACGAAGTTCGAAAACTTCCCGCCATTTTCATTGTTGTTGTTTTGAAAATACAAATGGTCTTTGGTTCGTACATAAAACGAAATTAACGTTGAAAATAAAACGAAAACATTTAAAAGACATCTTGAGATAAGTAATATTTATTCTAGTTTTATGTTTGTTTATTATAATTTTAAAAAATATCGCTTTTATACTGGTCTTTCGCGTGCTTATTTACATGTCGTCTTTGTGTGTATTTTTGTCACTCTGAATAAGTCCATATAATAAACAGAACATTAAACGGTTGCGAGAAGATATGGATTTATGTTCTCGTGTCAAAAACAATATCTCACTCGTTCGCTGCGCTCACTCGTGAGATATTGTTTTTGCCCCTCGAACATAAAATCCATATCTCCTCGCAACCGTCTAATATCCTATATATAGCAAAAACCTCATCTTGATCAACTTTTTCACTGTCAAAACCTCATCTTGATCAACTTTTTCACTGTCAAAGTTTCTGGATAGATGATTTTTTGAGAAAAAAAAAACAAAGGAAAAGTACTTTGTTATTCATCTAATGACATCATATCCGCAAACTTTTGACAGTGAAAAAGTTGATCAGGGCGAGGGTTTTCACAATAAAGATATATTATATTTCTTCCAGTGGTGTAGAACTGAAACGATAACAAGAGGGCAGGGCTCTCAAAAATGGGCGCGGGATGACTAGATGTAGTGGTGACATGGCGTGAAGGGTGCATCCTGATAACCATTGAAAAGCTTCAGTATTGGTTATAGCAATTAGTGTTTCTAGAAGAAAGAAGTTAACTTGAAATAAAAAAATAGTAAGCTTTTCATGTTGGAGCCACACAAATGATCTAATGGTAGGATCATAGTAATCAATTACAGATTACTAACAGAACTTTCCAGGTTATGATTATGCAATCTTGAAATATATTGGGAGACATAGCACAAGTATTTTTTTATTTTTTTTTTCATATTTATCGGGTTTTACTGCACGTGTGCAGCACTTATTAAATTATATTATATTAGGTTTCCTTGCAGTCTGAAACACGTGCAAACTGCAAAGCACTCTAACAGGGTATTTTGACCTGAAGAACTGATTTCTGGTGTTGTTGGAGACCCTAATATTACACATACAAAAAGATCCATTTGAAGTTACTCGCACTTTAACTCTGACTGGATTATATAGAATTGATAAAAATCGATGAGACTTGATTTTTCGGAATAACTTTAATTTTGTATCTGCTGAAACTATCAGCTGGCAAAGGAACCGCAATTTAATTTGGGTCATATATTCTGACTAAACAGTGGGTGTTTACAATAGGTACGAAAACTTACTTAGTTCTCTCCAAGTAATCCTGCTGGTTCGAGTTTGGCATGTTGGATGGACTGATATGAAGCTTGAAATCCGGGCCAAAATATTCAAAATAGTCATTGTACGGTAGTTCTATAGAGAATATTATATATATGTTCGTTATTGCTCACATATTTGACATAATTATTTATTAAATTATCATCATCACCACTTCCATAATCACCACGACTAACAAAACCAACATTATGCAATCATTACCAACACCTTCACTATCATAACATCATCTTCATCATTCACTAACATCACTATCATCATCACTATCACCATCATTATCATCACACTATCATAATCATCATCATCACTACTATCATCATCACTACCATCATCATCATCACTATCACCATCATCACTATCACCATCAACATCACTACCATCATCATAATCACTATCATCATTACTATCACTATCACTATCATCATAATCACTCTCATCATCACTATCACAATCATATCATCACTAACATCATCGTCATCATCACTACCATCATCGTCATCATCACCATCATCATCACCACCACTACCATCAGCAAGTCTTACCATTAGCAATATCGAGATCTAATGCAACAGAAGTTTCGTATGTCCAACATCTGGCAACATTACGTATTGTGTATCCCCCACCACCAAGCATTAACAGCGGAATATTGAACTTCTTCACGAACGCAACACATTGTGCGTGACCTAATAGATAAATACTAGTTGTAACGAGTGGTCAATGTTTCGTAAATGAAAGGCGCTTTTGCCACAGGCATCTATGCTTATTTTTTAAATAGGTAATGCTTAGTTACCTATGTTCTATTTTATGCTTCTGTAAACTAGAACAACAGTAACTTAGACCGCCAGCAGTCCCTCGGGAGAAAGGAGGGACTGTCGACAATACATCAAGAAACGAAATACGCCTTGCCCACACAACGCAAAATTCCCATTGGCAAAATTCCCAAAACGATGCCGCAAAATCCCCAAAACGATGTGCCTGTCGTGTGAAGCAATATGTGTTTAAGACTGATAAGGCATATATGATAAATCCTGAAATAGTGATAATAGTTACATTCTTGCAGGATTAAAAATTTAAAAACAAATTTCCTACTGCAGGTTATATGAATATTTTCGTTCCTAACTGTTCCGCTGTAATTGGTTCAGTTAGTATGTATCGGGTATTTGGGTGAGTTTATAGTAGGTATTGAGTGAGTGAGTTAGGGTTTCAATCATTTCGGTAATCCGGTATTTAGTAATGTAGATATTCAATTAGTAGTGTAATTCTCAGAATTAGCTATCAAACATAAAAAATGTCTGTGAAAATTTCTGCAAAAATGTAGATCCTCCATAAAATTTCCGGGACTAAATTCTCAGGTTTCGGTGCTTTTCCCACCTCTGTGGAGAGGTACTATCCGGTATCCGCAAAACAGTATCCGGCGCATCGTTATACACAATGAAATCCAACAGGTCATCATCGTTGAAAGACCATTGTCTCGTCTTAGTTTTTCAGTTTATCAACTATCTTTCAAAGGCTTTAGAAATTATTAGCCCCACGTCCTTAGTATAATGAACATCTAACTAAAAACAATACCTTTTAACGAGAGGTTAAAACATCCGAGCCTGTCACCAGCCAAGGAATCTGCGCCACATTGCAGGACAACAGCATTGGGTTGATAAATTTCCATCACTTTGGTAATTATCTGAAATAGAGGAATATGTGCAGTGAAATTTCGCTTATTGAAAATGGTCCGACTTGTACTAGAGCCAGACATACAATCTGCCATGACGCACCATTCGCCTAACAGATATCTCATTCATTCAATCGTGTTAGGGCCTAATCATATGGTTCCAGTTAGGTGGGATAACATTAAGACGTTGTCCAGCATTCTCTAGTACGCGTATGCATGAGCGTCTCTAGTATACGTGTATGCATGTCGAAATTGTCAATGTGATAATATCTGTTTCACACTAAGACTAAGAGTATGGCATTGAACTCAAAGTCCACTCTAAGAAACAAATTGCTCTACCACTATATCGAACATAACTCGTCATTGTATTTAGACCAGCATGTACAATACACCAACTGAATGGCTTTAATATATATAGTGGATATAAATGGTAGCGAGTAAAGACAGCCACGACCGTAAATTGCACAGGAAAACGGTCAGGTCGCTGAACATTCATTGCATAACATTGTGGGCGCAATCAAGAACTTTCCGCGCGGTCGTAGACGTTTGTGGGAGTGGTCGATATACGAATTTTTGATGCGATTCCACAGTTCGGTGACTTTCGTAATATAAGTTTAAATAGTTCTTAATTATGCTCGAGTCATCTAATATTTTTCTTAGGCCTTTAATCTTCTCTTCATCACGAAATTCTACCAACAAATCAATACCTTTGCGGACAATATCTTGAAACAATTTAGCAGTTTTCCTCGTTAATTATGCAGTACACACCAGCATGTACATTCTACGCATGTTCAGTTCGAAGAAGAAATGGTGAAGTGAAAAACGGGCTTATTGCTTACGTTGACGACGTCTTACTGGTGTTATTGGCATGCAAGTTAATTTTGGCTTGAAAATAAGTATGAACGACGCAAATTATTTATATTTTCACAATATTTACCGTTCAGAATTAATACATTATGCTGATATTAATTGTGTCATCCAGACTTATTTTCGAGCCAATCTGAACTGAAGGTCATCGGACATCATACAGTATGTCCGACCCAAGTCAGACGGCCCTGAAAACGATATTTTAAGGTCTGCAACTACAAATCATTAATTATCGCACCTTGGATTTAGGAGGTCATAATCATAACGGCTTATGAGGTTAATAAAACAGGTATAGAGAACACTTACAGGTTTAAAAATCTGTTCATAAGATTCGTCATCAATGCCATCTCGTAAAGGAAAGTTAACAGCGTAATATTTGCCTTTACCAGCCCCGATATCCTGAAGAAATAATAAAAGTCACTTGAGATAGGTGTACACATTGAGAAATGTTGAGGTGGGTTGGTGACAACTAAACAAACTATAAAAACAAAGGAACAGGGATGGATTTACTGGGGGTTGCGCACTAGTAGCTCTGGCCAGTGGGGGTGCAGGGGGAGGGGGCGCTTTTTTCATGATAAAGAGTAATTTGAGTACTAACATGCACGATGATAAGCGAACTGTGAACAACAATTACAATTCAAATACAGCAAGTTGATGGGCGTGCGGCGCACATGACCGACACAACTTGGCACCAGAGCTGGCAGAGAACCCACCACCCCTACCAGATCATGCCGGATCCATCCCTGCAAAGGAACCCCAACCAGGCATTAAACCCTCCATCCGGAATGCAATCAATGCATAAAAATCATTTTTAGTACGAGGCTCTCAAGATATAAACTTTCCACATACACGAATGTCTCCTGTTCCAGGGAAGTATTCTCCATATTTATGAAATGAGACAGTCATCACACGATCTGTTGTGTAAAATGCTTCTTCAACTCCGTCGCCATGATGAATATCAATATCTACATACAACACACGCTGGTGATACCTTGGGGAGAAACAAAAAACGTTGTGCGCAACAAAAAAACGTTGTGAATAATATCAGATGTGTTCGCAACGCAAGTCTGGAACAGGTTGTTATCACCTTTTTACAAGGTTGACGACGGCAACAGACTAGCTATGAGCTTGTTCCCGTCAATTTGTTATGTCATCAGACTTATTGGAACAACTTGTTGCAAGTCTGTTGGCCTCAACAACCTTGTTGCAGGATGGTAACTGCTTGTTCCAAACGAACAAGCAGTGCGAAAACATCTTGTTGACAAGCTGCGAAATTTTTACGTGTGTAGTTTTGTAAAACTCTGAGGCAGTAATTCTTGCAATGCTATACAATGTCAGGCACAGAGAAATTCAGAGAGTACGACTGTACAAAGTACTTTCCCAAAACTTGACACAGTTTAACAATAACTACACTGAATGCTTCCTTATCAATGCTGGGCGCTCTAGCATTTTGCAATCAAAGCCTTGTTCGTCTTTTCAGCTCCAATAACGGAAATAAACACAAAGACCACGAACCTGAAGTAGGCACTTGTGAAGTTCTATCAATTCTGCTTACACCATTAACTTGCATTGCGCCCTACTTTACTACTTAGGCTTGGGCGGTTTTCGAAAAAAACCGAAACCGATAACCGCTTGAAAACCCTTTGATTACGTCATTGTTGAACGTCCCCGAAAAGACGCAAAAACGGGGGGGGGGGGCACCGAAGAGAAAAGGGATGGGTAAACAAGATTTTGAATGAGTAAAACTTTGGGTGAATGAAAACAAAACAACTCAAGGGTTGGGTAATAAAAATGTATTGTCCAAAGGTATTGCATGGGTATTGTATTTAAAAAGCATGACTCACTCAAATATTGAAGGCTAAAAAGCAATGTGAACAGTCATATATAAAGTACCTTATTATAGGAAATTAACGATGCGCTTTATTAACGCGACATAAATTAACGCGACATCAAATTAACGCGGATTGCTTCTAGGTCTTTTAAAGCATGATTATATTTAGTCGGCCGGCCAAGGTGGCAAAAAGTGCCTCTAAAGAGAGTTTGATGGCAACTTTATGTTAGAAGCTGGTAACAGGCATTATCTTATAGTTCAAGCCTTGGTGAATAAGACTGTGTGTGTTACCACTTCTGATTTTTGCTTTATAGCCAAAAAATTGAGAATTTTAAAATTTTGCCTATTAAATTACTATGATGGCAAAAAATGTAAAATCTCATGTTCTCTTATACAAAAAATAAACTATACCACTAGAAAGACCGCAAAAAACTATATATAGGATAATTAAGCAACTAGTGCGATTTTCAAGCCGATTTTGAATTAAAGATGGTTAAAGTTGGCAAAATGGGTACTAATTAGCATTAATTTGGTCATTTCTGCATTTTTTAACATTAAAAATAGGATTGAAATAGGATTGAAAAACGTAGAACTCACTTAATTGTCTTATATATAGTTTTTTACGCTCTTTCTAGTGGTATAGTTTATTTTTCGTATAAGAGAACATGAAATTTTACATTTTTTCCGATCATAGTAATTTAATAGGCAAAATTTAAAAATTCTCAAATTTTTTACTATAAAGCAAAAATCAGAAGTGGTAACACATATATAGTCTTGTTCACCAAGGCTTGAACTATAAGAAAATGCCTGTTACCAGCTTCTAACATAAAGTTGCCATCCAGTTGTACAAATTGATGGCTTGGCCGGCCGTCTAATTAACGTGAATCTGATCTCCATGGTTGACAACGCGAATCGGAAAATATAGACACAACAACAACAAAGGTTTAATGTTAAGAGGAGCACTGATGTTTTTAGTTTACGTTAATATGCTGTATTTTGATATTAAAAGAGTTGGTGTTATATATAAAACAAATCTAGGTATTTTTAACTAACGATAAATGAAAATTACATACTTAAAATTAACGATCACATAAATTAACATTAATTAAATTAACGCGAATTTTTAAAATCCGTGTTAATAAAGTGCATCGTTAATTTCCTATAATAAGGTAATCAGAGTCACTATCTTGTAGTTGATCATTTTCCGATTTGTCAGGAGGCGAATGGTGTCTCCAAAGAAAGTACAACATTATACACAGTGACTACAGAAGTGGTAAAGGACATGTGTTGGCACTGAATAGCATCATTTTGTAAAGTTTTTTTAGCCAGGGGTGGATATTTATTTTTTAATTGATATTCGAGGTTGACTGGAAATTCTTTACTTTTTAATGGTTGGATCAGCAAACACCAAGAAACGAAAAGTTTCTTGGGAAACGAAAAGTTTCTTGGGAAACGAAAAGAAAATTGGCTACAGGCTATACGCATTCCGATCAAGCCTCGTCGCTTTTCAGTCGCGTGTATACTGTAGGTCTCTCATATCGTGTGAATGAATGGCGATATACGATTCTTCGGTCGGTTTTCCAATCCGCAAAACCAGTTTTGAAAAAACCCACAATATTTATCGGTTTACCAAGAAACCGCCCCAGCCTATTATTAATACTTTAGATGGAAATCATCGAGTGGAAATTTATATACATTTATTAGACCTAACCAGGAATCGAACTTGCAACCCTGCGAATCGAATTCCTGCCAGGGACCTATACGCAACTAGATAATTTCCATCTACAGTACAAGACCCTTCAAGTGAGATGCCAACAAAATCATTATTGTTCTAACTCTTTCTAACGCCAGTCATCAAGGGTTTCACGCTGATGCTCAATGGGTTAATTATTGTAAAATCGTCTGGTGCATTTGTGGTTAATTACTACTCAGCAACTGGATTCTGCAGCTCAGTTGGTCAGAGTGCTGCACTGGAACCACAGGGCCACAGGTTCGAGTCCAGCAAGAGGGCCTGCTCCTGGTTAGGATCTAAACATTCCTATAAATTTGAGTTCGAACGAGGACTCAATTAGGACACAATAAATTACCTCAGCAATTCCAGGATAGCTAAAACAATGTCATTGACATAACAAAATCCTGAAGCTTCAGATTTTTTTGCATGATGTAGTCCACCTGCCCAATTGATGGCAATATCTGTCTGTTGTTTGTTCAGTTTGACTGCTCCAGCTACAAAGTTGGTAAAAATAGTTAATTAAAATTGTCAACAAAGTATTCTGGGGATGGCTGTATGAAGACTGGATAGCGCTACCCAGTGGATATAGTAACTTTTTCAACCTTTGTAAAAATTGCTGCAAAGCTGTAAAATTACTGATATAGAGCCCACAAGGCACAAGAAGAGGGTTTAAAAAATCTTTAAGACAAGACAAGATATTTTAAATACTAATAAATTTTATATTCAATTTTATATTAGATCTTCGTTTTTGAGGAAAATTACTTTAATTAAAGCCAAAATATCCGCCATACTGAAACGTCATTGTTACCAAAAATTCAAATTCTTTAGATCTTGTTTTACGTTCTTTAGATACTTTTATTATACTAGACACTCTTACATTCTTTAGATACTTTTTGTTTTTCAACAGGTGATACTTGTCCAAAAATACACATCTAAATCGCAATTTTTTTTCCAATTTTAAAAGACTACATTGAGCCACCTTAAAATGATAGAAAACTACGGATATAGACCTCATAATTAATAAAAAGAAACTTTGGTTTATAAATATTAATCCAGGTTATATCAATCAACAGACAATTTTAGAAAGCTTGAAAAAACAACTATCTGATGGATAGCGTTATCCAGCTATCGTATAACAGGCCCCAGGAAATTTAACAAGAACCTTACCAATAGATCCACCAGTTGAGAGTTGACAAAATTCAAATAAACCATCAAAAACTGGACAATCTTCACCAACATTAACTACAAAAATATATCGAATAATATGGAACCATTGAAATGAATATAACTGGAACGTTATCTTCAGATAATCTGCTTATCTTTCTCTAGAAGCCATCTTTCTATGGAGGTAAGACGGCACCATGCATGTTTATGACATGATTGATTTCTTGATGATTGCTTTAGGACAAGCTAGATGTGGTTCTTTCCATAGCTATGTTATGGTGCAAGAAACTGGCATGTAATTTAGGCAGGGGCAAACTTTAATTCGGGGGGTGTCAGGCAGAATTGCCCTGCAGCAAATTTTGATTTCTGGCCACTATTTTTCCAAAAAATGTTGGAGAGCGGGAGGGAGGTTTGTAAAAAAAATTTTCCGGACATTAATTTAAAAAAGGGGTCGAAAAATTTTTCAGGACATAAACCAGTTAAATTAACGGTCAAAAAATTTTCTCCGTACAAATTCCTGTTAAAACATGGGCGAAACCCTTATTTTTGGACCAATATTTGTAAAATTTATGTCTATAAATTCTATTCAATTCCCTCTGAAAGCCCTGTAAGTTACTTAATAACTCTACATTCTATCACTTAAAATCTTTGATTGCCCTGCCAATCCAGATGATTCGCCCTGCCAATCCAGATGATTTGTATTTTGGAGGGGTGTCACACTCCCCCATACCCTTCAAGTTTCGCCCCTGAATTTAAGCCTCTAACCTACTCAATTTTGATTTTTAAAAAATCCCAGAATATCACAATTCACAATCATTGTTTACGAGCAAATGGCAAACATGCAATCACACCCATTATTGCCCATATTATGTAATGTCATATCAAATAATGACTATTAAATAAAACTTATTAAGCTAAAGTTAGGAATATAGTAAGCAATATATAATGATTCTATAATCAGTAGCGAAGCCAGCCCGACTATTTAGTCCCGCTATGCAAATATTTTCGTGTTCATTGACTGTGAAAACAATCAATTTCTAAAGAAATGAATAATGATAATAATTTTGAATTTGCATAGCGGGACTAAATTGTCGGGCTGGCTATGCCACTGTCTATAATGACACACATTTTATACAATCTGTTTTCTTCTGTGTAGGATTCTTACAGCTCTAAGTACTGATAATTTATATTTTAAATAACCAGAATTGATAGTTACAACTATGCATTAATTTAAACAATAATGCTAATCAACATGAATAAGTGATTATCTCAGTCACAACTCATGACTCTTTATTCATTTCATCAAGTGATCCATGTTTTGACAAATTCGCAGAACTTATAGTTTTAAACAGACACCGAAACTCCTTTGGCAAACATGTTAAAATCCCCCCCCCCCCTCCTAATATGTTGTGAAGTGTCTGCCACTGCTTAATTTTAAGTGGCAATGTTCTCTGAGACACCCAACTTATTTATTTTACTCTGTCTAATGCCAGATGATTTTACTTGTCTAATGCCAGATGATTTTACTTGTCAATGGGAGAGTGCTGCCACTCAATGCGTTAAACAATTACTCACATCTCTGCATCTGTTTTGTATATTCAGTCATGTTATCTGGTCGGATTGTCTTTAAAAACTTCACATAATCATCAGAATGATATTTTGTCATTTCTTCAAGATTCGCTTTATGAGGTCTCTACAAAATATACAAATTCATAATGAAAGCATTGAAATTCCCTTCTGGAAAAGTCAGAACCTCCCCCCCCCCTTTTAAGGACTGAGATTTGTAGCAACAACTGATTTGTAGTCAACCCATTAAGTTGCATTGTGCCCTAATGCACCCTACAGGTGTAAAAATGCACAAGTTGTAACAAGCATGCAGCAGACTTGCAGCAATACTGTTCCAGCAACTTGCTAATGTGAATGGCTTGTTGAGCTCAACAGTTGTTCCAACAACTTGTTATTGCCCTGCAATTCAACAACTTGTTAACAAATTGTGATCACTCACAATTTGTTAACAAGTTGTTGAATGTTAACAACCTTGCAGCCACTTGATAAAATAACAGTTGTTACAACTTGCCAAACGTCCCACAATCTTGTTGCAAACACATCTTGTTGACAAGTTGTGAGATTTTTACATACATGTACTTTACTATTTTACCCCCCTTTACTATTTTACCAATGTCAAGGAAAGAGTGCTAGCACTAAAATAGCTTCTTTGTCATGAAAAAAGATACTAAACAAAAGGTGTGTGCACACACATTCTGAGGACCACACACTCAATCAAGTGCCTTTCCAGGTGAGGATTGAGACCCCAAATTTGGTTCAGCTTGATACTTCATGCATGCCCAAATAGATAATGACATTATGACATCATTATAAAATTGGTATCGGTACAAATGTTGCTGTCAAGTTTATTGAAGGATTTGTTTTGAAGGATTTGTGAGATTCAGAGTTTTCAACATTAGTTTTAAACTCAGTGTTTTCAAACATATATTTCAGGAAAAAGACTTCATGCCCACAACTCCCCCCCCCCCCTCCCTGCCTGCCTGCCAGATGTAATATGTCTTTTTGGCAGAAATATATATTTGACCCTTATATATCCTTTAAAAGTGATGTAAAGTCCGTAATGTAAACAAACTTTATGATCAGATATATATTATACTGAATTTTTAACACTCTTCTGGTTCGCTATGCTTGTAAATTAATACAGATTAGAGATTCAATTCAAGAAAGTTCGGAAGGTGGGAAATATTAACAACATTCCAATGGTCGGGTCCCGACCATTGGAATGTAGGCCTGCGCAGAACATATGCGCAGTACCGCCAGTACAGACTTTACATGACCTTTAAGCCAAGGTTACATATGCAATATTTTTTCACCAATGAAAATCGCCTTACTTGACAAGGACTGGCTAGTGAAAAACGCTTTGGGGGTGACTAATCCAATGGAGTAGTAAAAGATCTTTAAGGTTACACACAACTGTCTGCACATGGCAAAATCAGTGAATTTCTAAAACGTTTTTGGTTAATAAAGTCACAGAAGAACTACATATTCATACACTTTTAAACACATGTAAGGATCTTTAGGCAGGTATATTCAGACCACGCTTCACAGTAATTAAACTTTTAAACTCGTGTCTAAAATTAAGGGTGCTAAATTCTGTCAAGAAATTGTGAACTTAGCTCTGGCTTTGCACTTGTCTTACCGGTACTAGACAAGAAAATCATTGCATGTGTTGCAAAAATTGCAAATGCAACCCTAGCTTTACATGAGCCAGGTCAAACCAACCCAGATTTACATGAAGAAAAAAGCTGAATTTACCTGGCTTCACATCTAGGACTGTTCGGTATACCGATATACCGAAAATATCGGTATTAAATCATTATCGGTATATCGATACCGGATATTCAACCATACCGATATACCGAAATTACCGATATACCGAAATTTCCAATATACCGGAATTTTTTGGTTTATCGTGTTAAATTTACCAACTATATGGCGAAACCATAATCTTTATTTTACTACTGAATGGCAATTCAAAGAACTTTCTACTGCAATGATTTAGAATTTCCACTTCAGTGAGATTTTACACTGGGTATGTGTCGTTCGAAACATGTTCGAAACGGCTTCGAAATTATCGTTTTCCCTTTTAGAATTACTCACATTTCCTTAAAATTTCCATTAAAGAATTTTCCTTTATAATTACCAAAGGAAAACCGGTATACTGATAATATCAGTATAATTTTTTCGGTATACCGATACCGGAAATTTCTCATACCGAACATTCCTATTCACATCCCACTAACCAGGGTCAACATGCGTCTTGATACAGGTTACGTAGATTGGTTAAATGGGTTACTTATCAGGTAAATGCTAATAGAAATTTATTATCAGACAGGCAGACAACTCAGGTTGAGAGCCAACACGGGCTTGCGTAAATGGTGCCTAAGTGTTAATGTTGACAGCCATCCACCATATTTATACCCAGTGACACTTTATACTGAAACTGACCAAAACCATAGGAACCCTCAGAAACAGTACATTATCTTTCAAAAAATTGAAAATACACATTATTATAAACTTACATAAATTTCCATTTTCCTGTACAATCCATAGTTCAGCAATAAATTATGAGTCATTCGGATACGATGAGGTTTCATAGGATGTCCCTGGCCGTAATAATAGTTGCCTACATCACCTATAGAGCCAAAAATTTACATGGCAAATCTATTATCTAATGTCACGGGGGGAAAGTGAAAACCTAACACCACTAAAGCGCTACCAAACAGCACGAAAATTTCACAGAGTAAATTTCGCCATGAAACCTTGCTGCATGAGAAAAATTATGTGGAAATAAGCACGTACCGTCGTAATAATAACAAACTCTTTTCTTGCCGGCCGGATACACGTTCGCCATGCTTGTTGCCTTGTCCTTTCTGTTCAAAAGCCTTCCAAAAACCAAGTCACATGACCAAATTAGGTCTCTCGACCAATGAGGAGCGCTGAATTTTGACACAGCACACCCGAGCGTGATTTATGAAATTTCTCCGAACAATTACATTTTACCAGCCACTGAACTCTATAGGCACACAATGATGTTTACAATGGCTGTCACAGTTCTATCTATGGTTCTATGTTTAATTTCATACATCCTCCCCACAATTTTGCTTGGATGTTTTGGCTGTGTTTTCTTTTTTGTGGCATATTTGTATTATGTCCACAAAATCAACGATCATTTACCAGGACCACCTCGTTCGAGTTTCATATTGGGTCACCTCCCAGACATGTGGAAATACAAAGCTGAAACTGGTAGGACGACGAGCGAGTTTCTACTGGAAAAACGACTCGAATACGGGCCAATATTTATATTATTTTTTATTCACAAGCCTATTGTATTTCTGGGAGACGCTACCTATTTGCGACATGTTTACATAAATAATCATGCCAGCCTGTTTAAAAGTTCATTTTTCTATCCTAAATTTGGTTTTGTTTATGGTGAGAGGGGAGCTGGTTATGGACTGGTATCGAATACAAATGAAGCATCGTGGCGCAAACGACGGCAAGTTATGAACCCAGCTTTTCACCGTAAGTGTCTGAAAGACTTCATGGATAATTTTAATAATGTTTGTGACATCTTTATGACTCACCTGGATAGAGTTGTTGATTGTGGTGAGCCGACCAGTATGCTGCAGGAATTTACAAAAGTCACTTTGGAAGCTATGAGTCAAGTTTCCTTTAATATTAATACCCATGCTATTGAAGATCCCAATTCCCCATTTCCAGGAGCAATACGGCACTATCTGTGCGGGGTGCAGGACAACATTGATATTCCACTCCACCCCACCCTCCTGGGAATATTCCAGTTCAAGCTGTTTCAGAATGCTATCAAAAGAGAGCAAATTGATGCAGCACGATTTCTCAGGAAATTTGCCTCTGATTGTACCACCACTCGGATGAAGGACATTGCTGACAATAAAGCCGTCCCTGATGACTTATTGAGTCTCTTGATTAAAGATGGCAGTTTGACATTGGATGACATCATTGATGAGTTTGTGACCATATTCCTTGCCGGACAAGAGACAACTGCAAATTCATTGTCATTTACCTTGTATGAAGTCATTCGAAATCCCCATGTTGAAGCAAAACTTTTAAACGAGGTTACCGAAGTGCTTCGCGGTCGTGATTATGTGGAGTTTGATGATTTGGCAAAACTGAAGTATCTTGGTCAAGTTTTGGAGGAATCTTTGAGAAAATATCCTGTAGCACCAGCACCTTCTAGAGTGCTAGCAAAAGATATTACAGTTGGAGGATATCATATTCCAAAAGGAAATGGAATTGACAGTCTACAGATATTTTTTTCAATGAATCCTGAAATTTGGGAGAATCCAGACGTTTTTGACCCAGAAAGATTCTTTGAAACCAAAAACATTCCAAATTTTAGCATGACTCATTTCCCCTTTTCCATTGGCCCACGTAATTGCATTGGACAGACATTTTCCAAGTTTGAATCAAAAGTTATCCTTGCAAAATTACTGCAGAAGTTTCAGTTCAGGTTATTGCCTGGTCAGACTAATAGGGTGAAAGCAAGACTAACAAGTACTCCTCGAGATGGTGTGATGTGTGAGGACACTAGACGTGAATAATGGGAGGGATATCCTTTAGCATACAAAATCGATATTGATTGGTTTGTTAAACTATGTGTTAATACTTCATTGATACTGAGGAATTGAAAGTTTACTGAGGACGCTTTCCATTTGACGGAAATTCCGGAAATCTTGCTTGAAAATCAAATAGAACACGATAATTTCTGGAATTCTGTTTCGAGAATTCAATCTCTCGAGGTTGTCCACAAAATGGAAATTCGGGATATTTTGAAATTTTTATATTCCATTAAAACATTTCCCAGCCACGTTGCTGCTTTCCAGTATTCGACGAACAGAAACCACCACCAAAACCAAAATGGCAGGTTCTCGACTCGAGCCTGGATTTATTTTGCCGAATGCTGAAAGAAGAGATTTGAGCGGCAGTGTCAAAAATTCTTCAAAATAAAGAAACAGCATTCCAGAATTAACGTGTTCCATTTGATTTTCAAGCAAAATGGAAAGCGCCCAACAAGCCTCCCATTATTTACAAGGCCTGTCACGTTGTAGCGTTCCATTTTGCCACTGGACATTCCGGAAACGCAATCTGGGTTTTTTGTTCAAATGGAAAGCGCCCTGAATTTATCATTTTCTTTCACATTGATGAATATTTAAGCTAGTAATAATGTATTATTAAAACAAATATATTTAATGTTAGCAATTATTTATTATCGTTGACATTGATAAATGACATTGTATAAGTGTTAGGCAGTATTAAGCAACTATGTTTACACATTGACATTGTGATTTGTTGAGACAATCAGACAAACCCAGTTTTTTGTTTTTTACCCTCAATTGAAAATATTTGTCATTCGCGAAATAACGGCTGGAGGGACGCCAGTCAAGGTGACCGGCCAACTCAATTTTAGCTCGGACATACCAAATTTCTGGCCGGTCAAATTATTCGCAGTTTTGCATTGCGCACTTTTACTGCGCACATCCTATAACTTATAATTTCATCCATGAAAAAACGTACCGTTTAAAACAAATAATTTTATGACAATTTTATGTTACTTCAAAACATCTTTGGTTACATTCGTGCAAAGAATTACGTTAAAATCAATGTTTTCAAAAAAGGCATACAAAGTGTAGCTACTAGGGTTCTGTAGTAAATGCACTGTCTGTAGTAAATGCACAATTCCCTAAAAAGATCGTTGACCCCCGTTTTTTTAACTGATAATTTATTTCTTGATGTATTTTACATTTCATATCCGAAAGAAAAAGAAAAATCATTTCTGGATCTTGAAAAAAAAATCTTTTATCAATGCATGTTCTCAAAGAAAGATATGTAGATAATGTAGAGAAATGCGGAAAAGACATTTGTGGATCAGAATTGTACACGTTAGTAGTATTTTGCTCAAAACACAACATTTTTTTAAAGTAATTACAAGATGGGTTTACTAAACCAAAATCCGCGCTAAAAACGTCAATAAATATCGGGCTGTTGTGATTTTGCTGTTACTCGCAACGAGCGTCAAGATGGCGCCATATTGGGGTAAAGGTGGTATATTGTGATCGTCATATCTTCTTAACGAGTTCGGTGGCCCCGACTTTTTTGTGATTTTACTTTAAGTATATCATAAACTTCATGCCTGGGAAGTTTCAGCACATTCAGGAGATTCAAAAGAGGTAGTGGCCCCCTTTTTGGCACTTATTTTCAATATTTCTCTAAATAATTGCATTTTCCCAGACGATCTTAAAACGGCAAGGATTTCTCCAATACACAAGTCTGGAAATAAGAAAGCGCGGGGTAATTACCGGCCTATTTCTGTACTTTCAGTTATTGCATAATTATTTGAGAAACTTGTCTGCGAGCAACTCAATCTATTTCTGGAAGGAAATAAGATTTTAAGTTCATGTCATTCTGGTTTTCGCAAAGGTCATTCCACCACATCTGCTCTTTTAGAAAATACTGATTCGTGGCTACTGAATAAGGATGCTGGTAGGATAAACGGGGTGCTTTTTCTTGATTTATGCAAGGCATTCGACACTGTCGATCATGCCATCCTCATAAAAAAAGTTATCTAATTACGGGATACAAGACAAGGCACTAGAATGGTTTAAATCATATTTGTTTAACAGGGAACAATACTGTAAGGTAAATAGAGCAACATCGTCCCCTCGGAAGTTAAATTGCGGGGTTCCACAGGGGTCAAACCTTGGCCCTCTTTTATTTTTGATATATGTTAATGATCTTCCAAACTGTTTGGAAAATTCACATGCCGCAATGTATGTAGCCTGCGAACAGGCTCTCACAATGTATGCTGATGACACAAATATAACTGTTGGTTCAGATAGTCTTAATAATTTGGAAAAAACCTTCGATCATGAAATGAGCAATATTCATCAATGGCTCGTCTCAAACAAATTAACATTAAACGTAGAAAAAACAGAGTATGTGGTCATTGGAACTCACAAAAGATTGAGTAGTTTTTCGCAAGATATCACTTTGTCCATTGATGGCAAAGTAATTAATTAAACAAGTAAACTCAAAGAAAACTTTGGGCGTTATAATTGATGAAAATTTATGCTGGGACAAGCAAATTGAGAACATTCAATTGGAACTCTTACCTATCTCTATCAAGCTTTAGTTCAACCACATTTTGATTACTGTTCAATGGTTTGGGGTAACTGTGGCAAAACCTTAAAAGGGATGTTACAGAGACTCCAAAACCGAGCGGCAAGGGTTATTTCAGGCGACTCATATGAAGTACGCTTCCTTGACATTTTGAGTAAACTGAACTGGAAAACGTTAGAAGAAAGGCGAAATGAGCAGCAATTAAAATGTGTATCTAAGGCTCTTACATGCCAATGCCCTGAAAACATTTCGAACATGTTTACAATGTCCAATTCTGAACGATACGACTTAAGAAGCAACAATAGTAAGCTTGTACTAGCGAAACCAAAAACTAATTCTTTGAAAAGAGCATTCAGATATGTTGCTGCTAAAGTCTGGAACCAAAGTGTCAGTTAAATTAGTAGTAACTGTATCTTTTACACTTTTTGGGAGGGCTTCACTCGAGGGAGGAGGGGTAGTCAGTTAAATAAATAGTAACTGTATCTTTTTCACTTTTTTGGGAGGGGTTCACTGGGGGGGAGGAGGGGGAGGAGGAGTTGTAGTTTGTGTTGCATCACGGCCTAATGAAAAGCAACCTTTCGATTTGTAAATATTTTAATACTGGTTGATTAGTCACCGTGTTTAAAGATGTTTTTAATAATAATAATAATAATAATTCTCATTTCGGGAACAATTACTGCGGAATTAAAGTATACCCCTAAAATGTGACTTTTCTCCCAGTATAGCATTACAAAAAGCCTTACTGTAATCGGTAATTAAAAATTCCTTCACATAAAACAACTTGCACTGCGCTAAAACAATGGCCTTAATTAACTCTTAAGCCAAAAGCATGGCCATGGGCTTTGTGACGTACTGCGCGGGAAAGCTGATGTACATTGTCATTGAATTTCTTTTCCCGCAAGATATTGGACAACATGTTATGGTTCTTAATTATAATGCCTGAAAACTTTGTTTTGATTATTAATTCAAATGAAGATTAGTTGTTCGTTCTTTTACCAAAAGTAACCGGTCAAAATGACCGGCAAGGTAAGAATTTGACCGGATAATTCCGCATTCTGACCGGACATTGTCCGTTGACCGGCCGTTATTTCGCGCCCTGACTTTGGGCAAAACATGAAATGGGCATAGCGAATTAGACTTGCCCACAAGTCGATCTCGAATAGCGAGCGGTGAGCAGCGAAGCCGCGACTTACGAATCGCGAAAAAAAAACTGGAAAGGACTTTTGGAAAGTCTAATAGCAAATCAGAAGAGAGCCATAAATTTAGTGACCAGAACTTTCTTTTCATTGTTTCAGAAACGTGACATTTGCTGATCTAGTTTGGGAAGTGAGTGAACTGGGCTCTCATCTGCCAACCTCGTTCCCAGGGCCTTTTGCTCATCTGCCATTCATCAACCTAGTCCCTAGGCCTCTTAGTTCGCCTATTGCGCGTTTCTGCATATTAATGAGGTGACGGCTCAAAAGCGTGCACAAAGGACTTGGGACTAGTCTGTGTCATTCATCAGTTCCTCTACAGGCCTGGTTTCCCAATTCTCCCATATCCATAGGCGTACAGGCAGACAAAAATTTGCAACACGTTGATGGGGGTCACCGTGAGCAACATTTTGGCAATGCTACCTTTTTCGACTACCGTATTCACTCGTTTAAGCGCCGCCATCGCCCCCGATTGACCCCCCGACTAAGCGCCTCATGAGAGCAAAATTACTAAAGAGCGCCCCCTCGAATAAGTAACGCGATTATTCACAACAATGCAGCGCTTCATCGAAGCACCACCTCAAAAATTGTTTGGTATCACTTACAAATAAAATATTTTATAAGGAAAGCGCCGCCCTCAAATAAGCGCTGCATCCGATTTTTAAGGTGAATTGCACAATTTTTAAGTAAAATCCACAGGCTGCCCGACTTATTAGGGGGGGGACCTTTGGCTAATACCATGATGTAGCTTAAGAATCTAGGACTCCTAAATTATAGGCAGCAAAAATGGGGAAGGAAAAGAAATCTGGCTAGTCATGAAGCTGTGAACTCGCAATTATCTACCCATAAGTTCATAACCGATTACGCTATTAATCAAAATTCAATGCCTATTGGACCATGGATAATAAAATAAATGGATAGGAAACTAGTTGACGTGACCTAATCACAGAATACTACACAGAAGTCCATCTCCATTGTTTTTAGCGTAAGCTCTATTCGTCATGATTCGTCACTCAGCAAGTACCGTAAACAGAAGCAGTCACCCCCTGGCCGTACGCCATTTTTAGTATTTCCAGGAGGGGGACTGCTTCTGTTTACGGTACTTGCTGAGTGACGAATCATGACGAATAGAGCTTACGCTAAAAACAATGGAGATGGACTTCTGTGTAGTATTCTGTGACCTAATGTTTTTACTGGGATTGATGGCGTGGTTGGATGCCTCAACCTAGTTTAAAACCAAATTCTCAAAAACGGCATGTTTAGCAATAATACAGCTAAACAATTTAGTCAAAGAGCAAATAAATATAACCACGCCAACGATGAAAACTCTAAGTATTCCCAGTCAATTTTAGCAAATATTTCAAGCACTAAACAGTGAAAAATACATCGCAAATTTCGTTAAAATTTCGTAGCTACAAATGTAAAAAAATACAAAACAAAGACGAAAAACATTTACCTTGAATACTTTGTCGTGGCTTAGGCATGTTTTTAAAACAATTAGACCAGTTTACGCTTCAAGATCACCCTTTTAAAGCGGAAAATATAGCAAAACAACAAATATGCCAAGAACTTTGGCACAGACACAGAGTAGATAAGGCATACAGAGACGTAACTGACCGTTGTAAACTATGTTGTAAACACTGCGGGTAAACAAAAAAAGTGGGTACACTAGTTACGTCTCTGTATGTCTCTACTCTGTGGCACAGAATAGGAAGTTATACCAGAAGCGTAACTCTAGTCGTTTCCCTTATTGTTTGACGTCCACGAAAATTTTAACTCGCTCACGTCAGGCCACGCCATCCTGGCTAGTACAGCCGGAAGTTTTTATCAGGATTTGGTAGGTACAAAGTGCCGGTTGTACTAGCCAGGATGGCGTGATTGATGACGAATCGCTTGTAAAAACGCGGACAAATATTTGCTCGAGTTACGCTTCTGGTATAGCTTCCTATTCTGTGCCCTGGTTGTACTAGCCAGGATGGCGTGATTGATGACGAATCGCTTGTAAAAACGCGGACAAATATTTGCTCGAGTTACGCTTCTGGTATAACTTCCTATTCTGTGACTTTGGTAACATTCGCAATACGCGTGACGTCACGTTTTTCAACAAGGATGCAGTCAATGACGTCAGAAGTTTCCAATCCATTTATTTTATTATCCATGATTGGACCTAGTCAGCATAATCTACATAATAGAGCGTTTGCACATGACGTCACAGCCGCCATGTTGGTGTTCCAATTCGATCAAAAGAATTTTAATTATACTCTTTTGTCTGAAACACCAACATGGCCGTCGTAGATTTTGTTGAGTCAGTGCAAACGCGCTATAAGGATTTTATTCCTGTACGCTGTTGTCCACGTGTTGACCGAAAGCGCTATTATGCTCGGTTATCTGCTGACCATGAAACTCGAACACGAAACATTACCACTTACTAAACCTTCCATCTTCCTATTCTCCGAGAGTTTGTTTTGCTCTATGGAATGCCCACTCAATAAAAAATAAACTAAATTCCTTATCTGACTTTATGACATCTCCAAAAATTGATATTAGCCATTTCCCAAAGTCCTGAATCCCATGTTGGAGGGACAAGACTAAATATGGCAGCACACATTTAAATTAAAAGTTTAATGTAAAAAGGAGATATTTCATTCTTGGTCGTCTAAAAAGTTGATATTTGATAGTAGATACTTCTACTCTTTCACATATTTGACGGTGTGCTCGCGACGATCGGACGACTGCCGACCCAACCGGCAGCGACGTCGCTGCCTTCAACTCGCAGCGACGTCGCTGCCTTCAACTCCAGTCGCGGTTAGCCCTTGGTACAAGGACACAAGGTTGACGACGCCATTCTTTCGCTGATTTACATCTGTCTTCGAAGGACCATAATTTTGAAATAGATTGGAGATTTGGAGTTCATTTGTGCATCTAGACACTTGTGATGAAAAATGTGAATCATTTTCTGACATTATCTCCACCGGGAACAACTTTATTATGCCGGAACGGAAAGTTAAATTTCACACTAATGATGCACCATGGGTTACTGAAGATTTTAAACGATTGGAAGAAGATTTTAAACGATCCGGAAACTTACAGTTGTTTAAATTGTACCGCAATAAAATGAATAGAGAGAGAAAACTGTTACGAGCAAAATTTTTGCTACGAAGGTCAGTAACTTAAAAAAATAAAAACCCAAGACATGGTGGTCTGACATCAAACGCGTCAGCGGAATGAAAACCTGCAAAAGCGATCTTCAATCTCAACTTCAAATAGAAAACTTTGGTCACCAGTGTTGCCTAAATTACTTTGAATTTGTACTCGAGTAAAAGTGGAAGTAATTAACAACAAAACGACTTGAGTAAGAGTAAAAAGTACTGGAGGCAAAACGTACTTAAGTAAAAAGTACAAAGTATCCTTAAAAAATACTTGAAATACAAAGTAAAAGTAAAAGTACTATTGTCTGTAGGGGGGGCTTCTCCACTCATGGATTGAGATACAAAAAACACAAAACAGCACACGCATTATAAGTATACACTATTTCACGACATGGTCTACTTTCCAGACCCCGTTAAAGATATAAGAAATCCATTAAATAAATAATGCTTATGAGTAAGTCACAAACGAAAGATCCTAAACGCATGTAGAGGTCCTATTACCTATCCCAAAAGTAAAATAAATTGGGAATAAATTACGTAAAATTAAACAAAAGTTAGAAAGTAACGAAATACTTCGCCACAAAATGAAAATAACGAAGTAAAACGTTACTTCTTATAACGACTTCGTTCCAAGTAAAAGTACTGCAGAAAAAGTTTACTTTGTTACATGCTCACTTCTCAAAAATAGTACTCAAGTACAGTAACGAAGTACATTTATTCGTTACTTGACACCACTGTTGGTCACCTATCGTCGAAAGAACTTGCCAATTTAATTAGCAGTACCTTTCTGGAACCTATGAGTACATACCACCAGTGGCGGAAATTCACTTTTCCGGGGGGGGGGGCAAAGCCTCATAAATTTCCGACAAAACTTTCAAATTTCCGACATACCCCCTCCCCAATTTCCACTCGAAAAGACTGTTTTTAGCCCTCTTTTAGATAAATTTCCGAAAATTCGTCAATTTTCCGGAAGGTGGGTGGGGGGTAGCCGCCCCCCCCCCCGCCCCACCAAGATTTCCGCCACTGTATACCACCCCTTGCGTGATGAAGATCTATCCAACTTACATCAAGACATTCCCAACGACCATCCATCTGTAGTTAAAACGATAACTTCTCCGGCATCAGTGTTAACAAAGCTAAAGAACCTGAACGCGTCCAAAGCACCAGGACCTGATGGTATTACAAACTGGATTTCAAAAACTTATGGGGAGATTCTAGCATCCCCGATATCCAACTTGTTGAATACGTCTTATCTGGAGGAGGCCAATCTCCTATCCCAAAAGAAAAACCTGTGCGTGAAATTAATAAACATCTTAGACCAATTTCGCTTACTTCAGCAGTATCTAAATTGGCCGAGGATTTCTGATAGTCGAGAAATACGTCGTCCCAGCTGTTTTATCTATAGCTGATCCAGCACAATTTCGGCGGGCATTCCGCGCTCATTGGCAACTCACGCGCTAATCTCCATGGTGCACAAATGGTCGGAGGCTACTGATGGAACTGGAAATGTTGTCAGAACTGTATTATTCGATTACCGTAAAGCATTCGATCTCGTTGACCACCTCATTTTGACCAGAAAAGTTATCCAACTATCTGTTCCATCTTTTGTAAAGAAGTGGATTTTAGACTTTTTATCAAACAGACTTCAACGGGTAAAACTGTCGAATAACTGTTTTTTGGAGTGGGGCGGCGTACCCTCTGGTGTACCTCAGGGGACAAAACTAGGCCCTTGGCTCTTCATTCTTATGATTAATGATCTAAGAACTCCAGAGAGCGATTGTTGGAAATACATCGACGACACCACAATTTCCGAAGTTGTAGTCGAAGTCGTACAAAATTGATCTATCACAAACAAGCTACAACTCCATGACTCCAAGTGTAAAGAACTAAGGTTTTGTTTTACAAGATCTGATCACGCCTCGCTACATGAGTGTCATAGTCTGCGATAACCAACTTGAAATTGTCACCCACGCTAGGATTCTTGGTCTGACTATTAGCAGCGATTTGAAGTAGAATAAACATATTCTTAACACTATCAAGAAGGCGAACAAGCGGTTCTACTTCATTGTCCAACTGAAACGTGCAAAGCCAAAGGTTCCAACTGCAGATATTGTCGATATTATTAACTTTTATTGCCCCTGTATTAGGCAAGTTTTGGAATATTGTTGCCAAGTGTACCACTATGGATTACCATGCTATCTTTCAAACGCCATTGAACGGATGCAAAACGTGCGATGTCTATTATATATCCCAATTTAAGTTATGACGATAGCCTAGCTCTTGGTGGCATTTCTAAACTTAGTAGTAGACGCGAAGAAGCATGTATCAAACTTTTTAACGAAATAGTTAACATTCCTTCTCACAAGTTGGCATATCTCTTGCCCCCTAAACAGGATACAAAGTATATGACCCGATGCAATCTCGTGACTCGTGTTTTACGAGGGTCCTGAAGGGGGGGGGGGGTCCCAATCCCATTTCCCACCTGAAATTTTGGCAAAATCCCAGTCCCAGTTGGATTTTTATTAGAAATCCCAGTCCCAGTTATTGAAATCCCAGTCAATAAAAAACCCTTTATTTATTGGTAGAATAAACAGTTTTAAGATCTTTTAAGCAAGTGGCGGACACTTTATGAAATACTAGGGGGGTGCTCGTGCCGAAAGCACGGAAAATTTTTAAATTTGAATCCCGGAAATGGCATTTGCAGCATTCTGAGACACGCATAATCAGAAAACCCAGAATTGCGGCGCCAGAGTATGCCTGTTCACAGGTAGCGCTGTGAATAATATAGTTAACAACAAAAATCATGACCAAAGACACCAAAAACAGATCGAAATTGTATTTTAAAATACTCAAAACGCAGAAAAATTGGGAATCGACTCGCATTACCTCAATCCCATTCCCATTTTTGAGGACTTCATTTCCCATTCCCAGTGGCCAAATCCCAGTCCCAGCAACCCAAATCCCATTTTCCCAGTCTAAAAATAGATCAATCCCAGTTCCCATTTTACCCCTTCAGGACCCTCTTTTACGGACTATATTGTGAACACAAACAGATTTTTAAAAACACTTTTATTCCATCGTCGGTTAAAACTTTTAATATAGCTAAATGTAAATAGATTTAAATTGAGTTGATTTCTATTCTATTTTAATAGATGCGATTGTTAACTTGTCTTAACTGCCTAGCAGGCAGTCGTTTATTTTACCAAAGAAAACAACGAGCACAGAGGTAAAATATATATTGCTTTTCATACAAACATGTGTTCTACAAAACACCGCAGAAAAACGACTGCGCATGCGTCAACCTTAGCTGTAATAGTATTGCGAACTTGATGAGAAGCTGTTCCGAACGTTTCCGAAGGTTTCGCAAAGTACCTGCCTCCCCGGTATGTATCTGCGAAAAAGTCACTCAACTCACAATAAAAATCACTGAAAACTCAGAATATAAAAAATATATTGATAAAACTCTCGCTGTTGTTTTCCCGCTACATACATAATTAGTATTCCATGTGCTCGCGTGTAGCACACGCGAGATGTCCACGTAATTCCGTTCAGTTCCGACAAAGGCTCAAAAGGAGTGACTTCATTGTGCGTCTTTACAGCCAGATTTCGAGCGAAAAAATAAACATGTCATTCTAAAAACTAGGAATAAATGCAGCCAGAAGGTTCAAGAAATTGTACTGTACAAGAACATGAACTAAAGGAGTAAAGGTGATTGTTGACAAATTTATCGTCTGAAACATTTTGTTTATCAACTAAGCAACGACAATTTCCGGATTTTCGTTTGAGATACATTTCTTTAAAAAAAACTATGTCGCCAAATATAAAAAATTGTCGTGTTCACAATAATTAAACTTTAGGATGTATTCTACAATTTGAGTGGGTTAAGAAGCTTAACTTTTCGAGAGTTTTCTTAACTTTTTAGTTTGAATTTTTGTTTTGAATAATTTTGCAAAAATTTTCGAAGTCGTGTCCGTTAAAATCAACAATTTTTTACATAAATTATATTTCATTCCATACTTTAAATGCCAGGACGCTTTCAATTAATGTCTAGTCCACCCATTTGCTATATTTTCTCGTTTGTTTTACTAATTTTTGACCAATTAATAAGCATGTTTTTGTTTTAGAAATTGATATTCAAATTCCCCGCCATATTTTCATAATTTGGTGCATGCGCAGACGTTTTTCCGCGGTGTTGTTCTACAATTGGTTCTACAAGAGAGAGCTTAATATGCGCATGCCTTTACTACATAACACGTGTCCACAAGTGTTCCGTGATCAGGTTTGTCTAGCTACCTCTGATTTTTCAGTCAGCGACTCAGCATTCAGAATCAGTGCAGCTTTAATAGCGTGTGACACGAGTTGGAATGATGCCGAGTTGACAATTAATAAAAAATGGAGTCTTCAAAATCCAGAAACCCTTCTCCCACAAAAAATAAATTGTGTCTGACATGTGTTTTTCAAGTAAAAAGTTATTATCAAGAACTTGGATCATTAATGATTCTACTATTTGTAAATGCAAAACCACTTTGATTTCGAGCATAAAACTTTTGTGGTATAGCAAACGATAATTCTTGTTTTAACATTTAGGTACAAGGAAAGTTTTATATCTATTAAACTTAAGGTGGAGTTACACGAGCAACAAAATTGCTGCAACTTGCAACAAAATCTGATTTCAATGAAACAAATTGAAAACGTTTACACATAAATTACAAATCAAAAGGCAACATGTGTCGACATTGCTACTTAACATGCGTTGAAATCAGATTTTGTTGCAAGTTACAACAATTTTGTTGCTCGTGTAACTCCAGCTTTAGCCAATTTTTGTATATTTTGCACGACGTCAAAAAAGGATCGTACAAAAAATAACTATCAGATATTAAACTTGACTAACACCTGAAAACATTTGAGGAATATTGGGTTCGTCGGTTTTATAACATATCCTTTAACAAATCTAGGTTAAATATCCGCCGTTTCGGGCATGAAAATTAACGATTATCCGCGAAATAACGATTTCTAAAAATCATACGAAAAGCAAATTGCAGCAGATTCTTAGTAATTTTTCCTTTGTAGGAACACTAAATGGGTTGATTGGAGGAATTAAAAAAACATTCGAATATTACCCGGCATTTGGCTTGAGATTCTCGGTTTTCCCAGGCAGGCGCTCTTAACAATTACACCATGAGCTCGAGTCGTATATGAGCGGATAGCCGACGAGATGACTCCATACAGTTTCTTGAAAAGTGGAAAAGACAGATTTCAGACCAAAAAGTTTTGTACATTTATATTTTTATAGAAGAAGAATGAAACTAGATGTCTTGCACAGAACAGTATTTTGAGAATCAGAAACTGTAACGGAAAACTCCGTAACTGTTGGTTACTAGTTTAAAGCCTGGTTCACATTGATCGGCGATGTTCTACGATCCATTGTCTGTGAGCAACGAAGAAGAAAATGCACACCCAATTTTTATTTAATTAAAAGTTTTTTTCTGTGTTGGTGTTGTGTACTCAGGTGAATAATATGTTTGCGATGTTACTCTGAGTGCATATCCACACCGGGCGAGCTTGAAAAATATGCCCGGCCACGGTGGGATTCGAACCTACGACCTTTGGAATACTAGCCCAATGCTCTTCCAGCTGAGCTACGCGGTCAGGACAGTTCGAGTAAGTGATATTTCGGAACAGTATCTAGTTCCTTCAATACCAATATGTTCTAGTAATATGAATTTTTTCTGTGTTGGTGTTGTGTACTCAGGTGAATAATATGTTTGCGATGTTACTCTGAGTGCATATCCACACCGGGCGAGCTTGAAATATATGCCCGGCCACGGTAGGATTCGAACCTACGACCTTTGGAATACTGGCCCAATGCTCTTCCAACTGAGCTACGCGGTCAGGACGGTTCGAGTAAGTGATATTTCGGAACAGAATCTAGTTCCTTCGATACCAATGTATTCTAGTAATATGAATTTTTTTCTGTGTTGGTGTAGTGTACTCAGGTGAATATGATATTTGTGGTGTTACTCTGAGTGTATATCCACACAGGGCGAGCTTGAAAAATATGCCCGGCCACGGTGGGATTCGAACCTACGACCTTTGGAATACTAGCCCAATGCTCTTCCAACTGAGCTACGCGGTCAGGACGGTTCGAGTAAGTGATATTTCGGAACAGAATCTAGTTCCTTCGATACCAATGTTTTCTAGTAATATGAATTTTTTTCTGTGTTGGTGTAGTGTACTCAGGTGAATATGATATTTGTGGTGTTACTCTGAGTGTATATCCACACCGGGCGAGCTTGAAAAATATGCCCGGCCACGGTGGGATTCGAACCTACGACCTTTGGAATGCTAGCCCAATGCTCTTCCAACTGAGCTACGCGGTCAGGACGGTTCGAGTAAGTGATATTTCGGAACAGAATCTAGTTCCTTCGATACCAATGTATTCTAGTAATATGAATTTTTTTCTGTGTTGGTGTAGTGTACTCAGGTGAATATGATATTTGTGGTGTTATTCTGAGTGTATATCCACACCGGCGAGCTTGAAAAATATGCCCGGCCACGGTGGGATTCGAACCTACGACCTTTGGAATACTAGCCCAATGCTCTTCCAACTGAGCTACGCGGTCAGGACGGTTCGAGTAAGTGATATTTCGGAACAGAATCTAGTTCCTTCAATACCAATGTGTTCTAGTAATATGATTTTTTCTGTGTTGGTGTTGTGTACTCAGGTGAATAATATGTTTGCGATGTTACTCTGAGTGCATATCCACACCGGGCGAGCTTGAAAATATGCCCGGCCACGGTGGGATTCGAACCTACGACCTTTGGAATACTAGCCCAATGCTCTTCCAACATAGCTACGCGGT